TGGGGCAAGGGCAGTACCATCTCCCACAGCAGCCTGTTTCTGGGTGGTTGAAGGAGCTGAGCAGGTCTTCATCTTTCCTACCCATCTCTTGACTAATGGCTTGTTAGGAAGGTCAAAAATTACTCCTGTTCTCCTTTGGCTCCTCAAAGGGAAGAGGAATGGAGTCTCTCTCCTCCCTCTCTGCCTCTGAGGTACCAGATGGTCAGGTTTTGGATGTGATGGTCCATGCTGTAGAGGTGTCTGGAGTACGAGGAGGAAGACCAGGTGGAGGGGATGGGCAGAGGGCAGCTCCTGCTGTTTTTCTCCCCGTCGGATGTGTGCTGAGCTGATGCACATACTGCCAGCTTTCCAGGGCACCTGAGGTCATGGATGGCAGGGCTGGGGCCTGCTGAGGCATTTCACTGCTGTAGGTTGGCCAGCTCCTCCTAGGGCAGGAGCAGAGGCCCCGGGGCTGCCTGCAGCCTTCAGAACACAGAATTGCGTCAGTTTGGGCTGACAAAACCCCCTGCGCTTGCCCCAGTGACACAGGAGTGCTCTTGGACTGATGCTCAGTGTTCAAATATTGTTCAGATGGTTTCCTTCACTGCAGAGGTGGTTCATGTTATGTGTTGTTCCAATGATTTTTATCCAGCCCTTGCAAAGTGCCTGCATGTACGTTCTGCTTGTTTAGCTTGGCTGCTCCATTCCAGACAGGTTTTTAGAGTGTCCTGACAAGAGTTCCCCTGCAGCCCTCCCTTGGCTCAGTCTGGAAGGAATACAAGAGCTACCAGGGTGGAAGAGAGGGGGATGATGCTACAGGGAGTGGTGTACCCTTCAGAGAGGAGTGGGAAGGGAGATCATCCAAACTTCATGAGAAGCAGACCTGAATCTGAGGCCATTCCATCCATTGGAATTTGCAAATATTCTGCATTCCTACCTGTGGACAGCAGGCAGAGGCACAGCACAACGGCAGCACTGGCAAACCTGCCCCAGTACTGCACACAAGCAACACGTGGGTCTGTTAGTCTTTCCTGCACTGACTGACAGCACAGGGTGATCTGTGAGCTTGGGCTTTGGGTTCTGGCTATGTTTGCTTCATTCATCAATTACAGCCATCTTTTTCTGACAGATATTTTTTCTTAATAGACTTTAATGTGCCCAAACCCTATGAATAATATTAAATGAGGAACAAATGTGCAGCAGTTCCACTGCCAGATACAACATTTCTGAGGTTTAATGCAGATTGGATTTGAATCTGACTATTAATATATGTTACATATGGATCTTGTTAAAAATTAGACAGTTGTATAGAATATAATGAAGGGGTAGGGATGGATTACCCTGAATCCAGACCTATACTGAAAATGTGTAAATGTGGGCAGTAGGTGGGTAAGGCAGATGTGTTTGTGGTAAGGCACCAAGAGGTGTGTGAACAATGATACGCAGATACAGGTAGCAGATTCCTGCTCTTGCTTTGTTTTTCAGTGCCTGTATCCCTGTGTTGTCTTGCTTAATGGCTTTGTGGATTTCCCAGACAAGAGGTGAAAGGAGTTACACACATTGCTGTGGCTGCACCTGAGATGCACTAGTTGACTCTTCTCCCTCCCCAAACCAGCTGTGCCTCCAGCAGAGTCCATGCTGATGGACTGGGACATGTACCAGCAGCTGTCCTAACCCTGGCATTATCACTTATGTTCTCTGACCTGCATGATGCTGAGGGTGACCATCAGCACCCAAGAGAGTCAACTCTTGCCACAAGCATCCCATCCCCTGGAAGCAGAAATCCCAGCCATGGCTAGAGTCCCTGTGGAGCAATGCCAGGTGAACCAGGGCTATCCCATACTCTGTTCATTCAGCCTCTCTAGCAAAGGCACTTACTAGATTGTGAGAAAGAAAAATCTCTTTGTAAAGTAATAACTTGGCTCAAAATGTGCAACCTTTAGGCTCACTTCCTTGCATCTGGAAAAAAGCAATCTGCTTTGAAACACAGGGAAAAATAATTCTGCTGGAATTCTGTACTCAAATCACAAAAAGAAGTTTGGGGTTGTCCTTGAAAAGGGGTTTGAGATTTTTACCCCAAGTGGCCTTTGCAGTAATGTGGAGCACATGTCCTTTCTTCCTCCAGGCTTTATCAACTCTTCATCTTACTGGGCAAAGATGCCTTGCAAGTCTTTTGACTTGTGACTACAGTAATTCTTGCTGGAGGCCTCAAAACATTGAGCATAAGCAGAATGCCTCAGTCTGGATGACTTGTAGGAAAGCTGTATTTCTGTTATTACAATTTCGTTTATTTAGGTGTAATCTTTTTCTTGAAGGCAGAGAGACTTGCAGGGATCTTCTGTGCAAGATAACTTGGAAGGTATGGAGCAGCTGGTGAGCTGTCCTCTCCCCTCTTTCTAAATCTGTCTTGGTTTGTCAGCTGAGCTTTGTGGAAAACCCCTACTCAGAGCCCAAGAATGTAATCAATCCTCCTTATTAAAACTTTGATTAATGCCATGACTGTGGGGAATAGCTGCTCTCACAACTGAAAAAGCTGGAAGTGGAGAGCTGCTTGTTAACAATTAGCAGGAACAGCACTGAACAGGATGAGTGAGTCACCTTTGGGAAATAATATTTTTTTAAAAAGCAGACTTTAGTTATCAGTTGGTTTCACTAGACATGCCTGTCCTTAACAGCAGGGATCTATAGAGGAGGCAGTTGACTTGTACCTCAGAAGCCAAGGGATGCGTGTCTGTTGGACCTGGAGGTGGGTGCTGGTGGGACCCACAGGGACACTGGGGGTAGCGTGGAGCTCTCCAGCCAGCAGTCAGGATTCCCATGATGCTGACATGACATCACCGCTGATGTGTTGGGATCCCCAGTTTTGCCTTGTGTGGTGGTGGTGTTGTAGGCACTGGCCCCAGCCATCCCTCCCCAGCAGATGGAGGGAGTGGGAGTGCCCATCCATCAGTGTCTGGAGTTCCCACTGTTTTTGGCTTCCTGTACTATGAGCTCTCACTAGTCAAAATACTGCCATGTGGTGCTAATAAAAGGAGAGGATGTTTGTTTTCTTGACCATTCCCAAACTGCCAGAATTGGCAGCTTTCTGGCACACGGGAGCTGGGAACGTGGGCTTTGGGCCATGGGGACCCTGTCAGTGCTAATTGACAGTAGATCAAGTGTCTGGGTGGGAGAATAATTGCAGCAGAAATTAAACTGGCAGCATGTAGCTGAAGCTGGAAGAGGATGCAAGTCCTCCCAAACCTGGACACTTGGCTGAAATAAACTATGTGGGATGACAGGCTGGGTTTCCTCCGGTGGTGCAGACAGGGAGTGGCACTTCCCAAAGACACAGGAATGGCATTCCAGTGCCACCCAGCTGGAAGAGTGGTCCCTATGTCATTGTCAGGGGAGGAAAGAGGACACTGAGTTGGTGCTCTTGGTCCTCTCTTGTGCTGTGTCCTGAGCAGCAGCTTTCCTAGCCTGATCGTCCAACTGCAGGGTGAACTCGGTCCGAAAAGAAGAGCCAGTCTCTCCATGGTATCAGAGGAGCTGCACAGGATGAGAAGGCTGTTTCTGCTCATCACTGATATAGTTTTATTCCTATAATGTGTTAGTCTGTGCTTGACACCAAAGTCTCTGCCCACAGAGATTCATGGTGGTTTGTGCTGACTAAGATCAAGTGCATGCAGCTTGCCTTGTGAAAATACCAGCCAGGATGGGGTGAAGAGGAGTAACTGGGACAAACTTGGATCTAATGCAGCTGTTTGAGCAGCCTGATCCAGACAGTGCTGGAAACCCAGTGCTGTGTGTGAGCCAGGCCAACGGAAATGTGAACACACCTGTGTTTGCTTTGTTTGCTGTGGTTGGATGGGCTCAGGTGTGTGTGGTTGCAGGACTGAGGACCTGCTGCCTCCTGCTGCATGCAGGTTCTAGCCAGCCTGGGCTCTGCAACATTATTCCTGTGAGCTTTTCACACCTGTGCTGGCCTCACAAATACTCTCAGTCTATCGCAGTGATGATCGTACCTGCTCCTAATTAAAAAATTAATTTAAGCAAAAAAATCACATGTGGGCTTCAGGTGAGCCAGAGCCTCTGGTGTCCCAGTTGTGGGCATACAGGGACAGTGGTGTCCTGCAGTGGAGCAGGGAGGGCAGTTTGGTGCCAGCTTGTTCCTTGGCACTGACTCTTACAGCTTGAAAAATGTCATACTTATTTTTGGTCTCAGCAGAGGATCATTGATTTATTTATTTTTTTTTTACTAAGGGTGAATAGCTTCTCATTTGATTAACTGTGAGTAATGGAGTTACTGTAAGTTGAATTAA